GCACCGTTCTTCGATGTATTCGCCTGCCTCGATCGGACTCTAGGATCCAACATTGGTCCTAGATGCACCATCAAGAAACATAGTCATGATACTATTCTTTTGAAAGAACATACCTAAAAGGAGTATATGATTTAAAAAAGAATAGCTGCCTGTACATGGCACATTGTAGAATGGGAAGAGAACTTCAATGTTCAAACTAATGGAGATCCCTAAGAAGAGGTTTATTGGATGGTTTGGCCTGATTTTCTATCTGGGTTGTCTCTAGCTTATGGGCTAATGAGCTAAGCACCCTCATCTAATGAATCCAACAGAAGAGGTTCTGTGGATTCCTTAGCCCAGTTTTCTATCTGGGTTGTCCCTTGGTTCATCACCATGGGATTGATTTGCACATTTTCTCAACCCACCCTCTAACCCTGTGGTTTTTTGTATTCTTCGACATATATAATGCTTTGTGATTCTCTCTCTCTCTCTCTCCCCGATGGTTTGGGCTGGATGAATTTGGGCCAATTGTGAGTAACTGAGATTTTCTTTTGTTTTTTTTTTTCACAGTGGTAAACCAAGTCTGAGTTGATAGTTCTTGAATTCTTTAGCTTTCTTGCCGTCTTTTACCCAAAATTAGAACTTTCTTGGGRATTCCTTTTCCCTCTAGGTTGTCTTTGTTTTTTCCCTCATCAATAGTAAAACTTATATAGTTTTCATTAGAGATAAACGTGATATAAAGAATATAAATTGCATTTATTATATGGATAATAAAGGCAAGTGCTGAATAAAGAAGAATATAATATTATTTGGTTTTTTAATTGAGAATATGACAAAAAATAAAGATAAAGAAAAGAAAGGAAAGCTCACTCCCATGGCATAAAGCTTGCAAAAAGAAACTAAATACTCTGAGCATCGAATCTTCACAAAACATTATAAAAATAACCTTAAAAACGCCAAGAGCCTATAGTTCTCGAACCCTAGCCTTTAAATGCATGCTTCAACAGTATGATCTCTCCTCTCTCTGTGTGTATGGCTGTATCTCATCCTCAGACCAATAACCCTTAAAAAATTGAGAGACTGAGCATTTGGAGGAGATCCTGAGAACAGCTTTGGGATTGGGGTCCACACATGGGGCAAACAGTCTTACATATTAACTAGTGAATGAGGGTACAGTTTTGGTACTGTCAGCAGTCAGCTTATTATATTACTACTCCTCCATTGCTGTCCAAGTGGGCAGTTGGCCCACTTTCTAAATCCACTCCAACCGTCCAATTGATGGGCCTATGTGCTTGGGGTGGGCCCATCTTGATTGTGGAGATGTTATAACGGCGACGGTAACGGCTGGCAAGGGTAGATGCTTACTGCTTTTAGGGCCTTTTCTCCGGGGCCGTGCTTCAGAGAATAAACAGAGACCCTTCAGGGCTGATGGGCTCAGGCTCAGCCCGCAGTTTCTGACCCTGAGAAGGCGCTGAGGGGAGAGAAGCCTTGCGTAAGGGGAAACTGAAAATAAGCCTAAAAAGAATTTAAACCTCTTTATGGTATAGAGACAACCACCACCCCCTATTATTCTACCAAAGTAAGTATGTTTTCTTGTGGTGGAACCCACAAACATAATTGGCCCCGACCAAGATTGGACCAATTTTTCTGAGTCCCTTGCAATTAAATTCGGTGCTTTTATTGGATCAATGAATATACATGATACATGAGAGAGAGAGAGAGAGAGAGAGTCAAACCCATTTGGAAAGGAGATTTGGGGGAAAAAACGGCTAAGATATCTAGTGGAGAGAGGAGGAATTTGGAGATGGGGAAGAGGGGGCCATGAGAGAATATATGTCTGCTTTCTTTTATATATATATATATATATAAATATCCTCCTGTCACTCTTATATCCACTTTGGATTTATGACCATTTGTTTTCTCTTTCAGGTTTCAAAACAAAACCCTAGAAAGACAAACCCTAGAGACTAGATAGATCGACAAAAGACAAATCCTAAATATTTTTACATTTTCTTGTTCTAATTTTCCTTTTAAAAAATCATTATCTAAAGAACTACAAAGGGGTAGGTAAGGTGGAGGACAGAACTTCACTTTACGCCCCCCAAACACCACCCATGCACTAATGACTAATCCAATTCCACCCCCCCTGGCCCCCGTCCCCACTAAACGGCACGGCCTCCACAGGAATGGCGTGACCCCTCTTTCTCTCTCTACACACAACACAAGTCCACGTATATGATAATACCCATGTGAGCTTAGGGTTCCAACCATGGCAATAAATATAAACTTTCTCTCTCTCTCTCAGAGACTTTTAATGGATCCTCATCTCATGTCCTCTCCCAAACTAGCCGGCGCCCGGCGGTCCGCCTCGTGACTCTGCCGCGGGTTTCAACCCCTTCTATTAAATTCACCAACCACGTTTAATCTTTATGGGCTTACATTTATTTTTCCTTCATTCCCTTTCCTCTGCCCTATGTTTTGTTATTCCACATGTATATTCCTTAAATCCAAACCACCTGATCCAAGAACCCCCGGCCCCACTCAATCATATGCCCATAAATATACACCATCCGATTAATGACCTAAACGACATTTATGATTCATCTCAGCTGTTACGTGCAACCTCCTGGAGACCCCTTAACTATTAACTCTTATGTTGTGCCGTGCTCACCTCCCCACATTCACGTTTGACTTAATTTTTGAAGTCCGTGCTTGGCCCATAACCGGCCCAAATTCGTTCCCACTATAACCCTACAGTGCTCCGTAAGGACTGACCGTGTCCGAGGGAGGACCCCACGTGCGGCTAGCATTTCTTCGAGGGAACGGACGTGAGAGTTGAGCTTCAGGTGCTACCATCAAATCGTAGGTTCCTTCATTGGTTGGAGTGATTGAACCGTCCGTTCTTCCAGACTGGGTGGGGTATGAAAATCATGCCAATCCAATGATCATATACTAATGATCTATAATCTCTCATTGGCCACGACCGTATCAACTATTCACCAATCGGATTTGGGAAGAAGAGTATGAAGCACTGCCCACTTGTTCGCACTTCGCACTACACGAGGGGGGGATACGTGGTCCCTCCTTGGTTGTTGGATTACATCTGATCTACGCCGTGGCCCACTTCAATTTAATGCTTTAAATGTTATTTATGGTATGCTTCTCGCTTTATGGTTGCCGTTATGACGCCGCATTAACGGCCATTACACGTAAAATGTGGGCACAAAGATTTATTAGAAATGAAAATTACGAAAATGAGATAAAAAAAAAAGGAAAAAAGAAAAATGATGGTAAAGCAAGTTAACGGCTAACTTGTACAGAAGGATGTTGGTGTTTTGGTAATTACGAAAATTTTATTACCAGTCCTTGTCTATCGTACTTTTCCCCTTGATGAGCCCCACGTTGTCTGTTCTCGGGGACCTGAAATGCCAATCTCGAGGATCAATCAACGGTCCAGATTCGTGATGACGTATTCCTCGAGTCCTCGGGGGAAGATGATAAGAACAGCTCATGGAATCAAACACTCATTTGTTGTGGTACATTGAGATCGATAGTCTTCAGCTGCATCCCAACAAAACCCAAATATAAATGATATAGGAATCAATGAATCAGGAATCATTCACGTACGCACGAGCCATGAGTCCCGGGCAAAGTGGGACCTACGTGCGCCTTTCATCAATGCAACGATCGGCTCCCGCCTTGTTGGTATATCCACCGTTGAACCTGGTGGGCCACTCTAATCGAATTGTGATGTGTGAAGATAAGATCACGTGTTTTCTCTACCGTTTCACATGGAAGCGAAACCGACATCACAGTTATAGTAGAAGCGGCATCTCTCACCATCAACTTTTTCTTTCGAAGGCGCTGATCCAGATGCGTGGGTACACAACCAGTTGATGGCGAGTGATGCTGCAACAGTCATAATATTACTGCACCACACCATAATTCATCTTCCCTCCCCCAAGAGAGAGAGAGAGAGAATAAAAAGAAAAGAAAGAACGTACGAGAACCACAGGAGAGTTGTCTACCAAGTACAGAGAATCTCCAGCATTAGGGCCTGCAACAGACTACTGATCTCGACCGTCCATCTAAATATAATATTGGTGATCATTAACGGGCATTGGCATCAGCGGTTGTGCACCAGATAACCGAAACACTGAGTCTTTGTGTACAGTGATGCATATAATCAAGATCAGTAATTCTGTTAGGGGAGTCAGGGTAAAACGGGGGGGAGGGTGGATGACGTGTAATACGTACATGCATCATGCAACGTAATGCGTAGGTCGACACGAGCGCACTCATTTCGTAATTATAGTACAGAAATTTCCACCCTGGAAAATAATAAACATATGTAATTTTCATTCAACGGAGGAGAGAGAGAGAGAGAGAGAGAGAGAGGGAGGGAGGGAGGGAGGGAAGGAGGGAGGAAAAAGGGGTCCCGTAACGGCTCCCCAGGCGACATACTAGATGGGACGTTTTCGGCCAACCACGTTTTCGTTCTCTCTTTTTCTATATTTTTATGTTATTTCCTTCTGTCTCCCTGGTCCCTGCCCGCCCTCTCTCTCCCAAGTCTGGCGATGTCGGACTCTGATTGGTGGTAATTCGGTAATTTGCATTGGTTCCGAGTTTCCGTCTAATCCCGCGTTTTAGTTTGGAAAAAACGCGTGGTTTTGACTTTTAACGGTTGTTTTACTTACGTTGTTAGAAATTAGATTTCCGGCTACCGTCTCATCGATGAATCCTAACCGTTCATCATTATTTTATTTTTATTTTTTGTTTAATTTATTTCATAAAAATCTAAGCGACTAAGGGGGATAATAAGCCGAGCTGAAGCTCATGAGGGATGAATCACGGTCACGGTCAGCTGTTAAAATTGAAGCAGGGAGAAAAAAAAAAGAGAAAACGGAAAAAGAAAAAAGAAAAGAAAAGAAAAAGAAGGGGAAAAAAAGCAAAGTGAGTGAGAGTAGTGGGACTGGGGCGTGATTGCTCATCGCTTTAGCTTTTTCACTTTACAGGAATCTTTGAAAATCGGACGCGAGCGAGATGAGTAAAAAAGAAAAGAAGAATTAGGAAAGAGAGAGAAACAAAAAGGAGAGAAGTAGACAGGATAGAGAGATAACACGAACAAAGAAAGAAATTCCAACACAAGAGACCGAGTTGAAGAGGGTTTTTCAGGGGTTTTGTTTTTGCTTTTTTTTCACTCACTCTCTCTGTCTCTCTCTCTAAGGTTTCGTTGTTGGTGAGTTGTGAACAAAGGTCGAAGAAACAGAAAATACATCTCTTCTCTGTGAACTCAGTTCACCTGAGTTTGGTTGTAACATGAACAGAGCTACCAGTTGTAGGGTGGGCATTGTACACATTCTGTTATGAATCTCGAACTCCCCCAACCCCACCGTCTCTCCACCTGCGACCGTCACCCCGACCAACCAGTCACCGGATTCTGCCCCTCATGTTTATGCGAACGTCTCGCTGGGTTGGATCCAGCGACCCGCCGTAAGAACAACGCCTCTTCCTCCTCCTCCTCCACTGCCGCATCCGCCTTTAAAGCCATCTTCAACCGCTCCGGCGGTGGCGGGGACGCTAGCACCACCAATACCAACTACAACAATAGCAGCAATCGGAACAAAGCCTCTTCTTCCTTCTTCCCCGAACTCCGCCGGAGCAAGTCCTTCTCCGGCCCCAAAGGCGAGGGCTTCTCCGGCGTGTTCGAGCCGCAGAGGAAGTCTTGCGACGTTCGCGTGCGGAACACTCTCTGGTCTCTGTTTAGCCTCGATGACGAACGAAAGGCTGAGAGCAAAGAGGTCTGGGGTGACATTGAGGTAGAAAGCAGGAACCTAGGGTTTTCCGGGGTTGCAGGTCCGGTGTTCGAGTCGAAGGAAGAGGAGGAAAATGAGGAAGAAATTAGGGTTTCTCAGGATGCCGCCGCTCCTACTAATGTGAATGGCGTCGTTGTTGAAGAGAGAGCAGAAGAAATCGAAGAGGAGGAGGACGACGAGGAGGAAGAGGTGGAGGAAGACGAAGTGAAGACGATGAAGGATCACATAGATCTGGATTCGCAGACTAAGAAGCCTCCGGGAAGGGATTTGAAAGAGATTGCAGGCAGTTTCTGGTTGGCCGCCTCGGTTTTTAGCAAGAAATTGCAGAAATGGAGGAGAAAGCAGAAGATGAAGAAGCGTGGTGGTGCTGACGGTGCCTCCACTACAATGCGGGCCGAAAAGCCGTCCCGTAGACATTTCAGGGAGACGCAGTCGGAGATCGCAGATTACGGATGTGGACGGAGGTCTTGTGATACTGATCCCAGGTTCTCTCTTGATGCTGGCCGGATGTCATTTGATGACCCGCGCTACTCTTGGGACGAGCCCAGGGCTTCCTGGGATGGTTATCTAATTGGGAGGACATTTCCACGCCTTCCTCCGATGCTTTCGGTTGTTGAAGATGTTCCCGCCCCGGTTAGACGATTTGACAATCAGATCCCTGTCGAAGAGCCCATGAATTCCATCAATGAGGATGGGACAATCCCCGGAGGATCAGCCCAGACTAGGGAATATTATTCCGACTCTTCCTCATCGCAGAAGCGAAGGAAGAGTCTTGATCGGTCTAGCTCTATCAGGAGGATGGCGGCAGCTGTTGTGGCAGAGATGGATGAGACAAAGTCCATTTCGAATGCCAAGGTGTCTCCTGCCACTATTGATTTCGTCCATGGGGCAAAGTTGCTGGTCACAGATAAAGATTTGAAGGATTCTAACTCAAATTCTCTCAGGGATGATTGCTCTGAAAGCTTTGAATCAGCTTTCCGAGATGCCCCCTCTGTTGTTGGCGGTGGTGACAGGAAAGGCTCCAAGAAGTCACGCCGATGGAAGGCGTGGAACATTTGGGGTTTGATTCACAGGCGCAATGGCACTAAAGACGAGGATGAAGAGAGATATTGCAGGGCAAACGTAGTTGAGCGTTCTCTCTCCGAGTCTTGGCCAGAGTTGCGGAGAGATGCCAATGGAGAAGCAAGAGCGGCTTTCAACCGGAAAGTCTTCCGTAGTAACAGCAGCGTCAGCTCAAGAAATTCCTTTAACATGGGGGGATCCTTTAGCAGTAGTACAAGGAGGAGTATTGCTGACACCAACGGCAATAGTAAGAAGAAACGAGAAGAGTTTGTCTTGGAGCGCAACCGGAGTGCAAGGTATAGCCCCAACAACCTTGATAATGGCCTCTTACGGTTCTACTTGACACCGTTGAGGGGCAGCAGGAGGAGTGGGTCTGGAAAGAGCAGAAAAAACACACATTCTATTGCGAGGAGCGTACTGCGATTGTACTGAATGGAAGGTGCACCAGTTGTTCTTTGATCAAGTGTTGATTTACTAATTTTATTGTGTAAACACATATCTATATATTTCTTGTTGTTAGATAAAAGCACATCCTACTGTTGCCCTTCCTGTGCTTAGCATGCTTTTTCAATCTCAGAAATAATAATAAGAATTTTCAAATTATTTCATCTGGGCAGCCAAGAAACAACTTGTCTAACAGATGGGAATGTTGAGATGGATGAGTGACAAAAACTAGTAAAAACATGGTTAGGAATAGGCATATTGGTAGGAATCTAATTAAGAGTAGCTTTATAGGTGATTGAATGAGAAAAAATAGACTGAGATGGTTTGGTCATATGCAAGTTGATCCGGAAGATCTAGGGACAGGCTGAATAGGTCATGGGTCAGGGTAATCAGAAATGATAAGAGGGCCCATAATCTCACAATGGATATGGAACTGAGCAGAGTTGAATGCAGGAACAGAATGAACCCGTAGTTGGGAACAAGGAGTGTTTTGAGTTGAGTTGAGTATATAGAATATTTCATCTCTATCCTTGCTGGTGTTTAGCAGGTGAAAACAACTGTTTCTTCCCCCACCCTCCTGAATATGTAGTTTAATGAATCTAGGGAATGTAGAATTTCAAGAGTGCATAGTGTTGGTTTCAATCATTTTATAGTATCGAATTTTTTGGCTCTTCAAGATCGTGTCTTGTGTAGTTGTGTGAAATGCTGAAGCTTGAAATGCTTGATTTCAGGTTAGGATATTGCGGTTTAAGATATTGAAACCATTTGACAATGGGGCATGGAGGACTTGTAGTTATCTGCTGAATGAGAAGAGTGTCATTATAGAGTAACTTTTTATCCAGATTAAGGAAGTAGTTTCTATCACCATTTAGTAAACTTCGGATGCTAACTTGATGAGAACCCAGGCCTTGGTTACCTTGATCCAAAAATGGTATCTTCCAAGATTGGCCAGTATTAGTTTTTCAAATCTTTACTGATTTCTCATTGCTCTGGCAAGCCTAGCTGGGTTTGCCAAGTTTTGTGTGGTTTTTCCATTTTCCTTCCAAGTCTCTATTGATAAGGTTTTCTTTTTTACTCCCTTTATTTTCTTCTTCCATGGTAAATGGCAACACGTGGCCTGACATAGACCAAAACGTCTGGAAAAAATGATATGACTCATCTTAGGGAGATTGGTTGATTGATCTGAATTACCGTAAGAAGGTTGCAGTGTTGGATGCCATGTGGTCTATTTATATCATATGCCAGATGGTACACTTAAACTTCTCTATAGGTGGGATAATTTGGGTATCTTAAATTGCAAATTTGAATTCAAACTTGGGAAATATTGAGATGACCTTCTTATGAAATTTTATGCAACCTCCCCTACTCGCTATTTATTTATCCTTCATCTGTATTGCAATCCCACTCTTGTAAGTGATCGTGTATTTTCTTATTTACAGCCTTATTGTTTAGTTGGATATTAGATATCATGAGTTTTTTTCCCATTACAGGTTCAAACATCTGACGGTTCGTTTCCCCTCACCACTAGCAATCTGCGGAGTTCACCCAAGTGTAGTTTCATTTGATGAAGGTATTGCAATGTGGGGCTGTTATTGTCGGCAATATAATGTTCTTTTAATGATCTTCAAAATGGTTCCTTGGCTGGGAGCCATTCGAAAACTTCATGCTGTAATATGGATTGTGGAGCATTGTTGCAGTGATCAAGAGGGTCTACCCCTCTAAGACAACATACAAATGCTGTTGGTGTTAGCTGAGGACTAGTGCCAACTACCCATCATCAGGCATAGGCATTTGGGGTGGAAACGGAGACACCAAGTCAGTGAACAGCTAGCTAACTCTCTAATTGTTGTGTTTGGAATCTGGTTATGTTTTTTTTTTTTTTTTGTATATGAAGAGATGCAAGTAATACTGCCTTACTCGTTACAGAGCCGTGAGAAGTTTCTGATCTGGTAGGCATTTCTCAACGGCAAGATACCTAATCCCTAATTATGTTATTCTTATCCTCCATAAAAACCTTTTTACCCTTCCGGCTGGACAGAGATGGTGGTGTCTCACTTTTAGTGAAGCTTCAGCCGAATGCAAGTGAGGATAACCAGGAAGGTTAGCAATACAATCAAGTAACCGAATCCGAAGATAGACGACAATGGATGGTGTCTCACAGGTTGTCCTTGTTTCAGACTAGACATGTATGACCGATGGCTATAATCAATGCCCGGTCCGTGACTTTGGTCTTCTGGCTCTCAAGGCTTTTTCGCGGTTTACGAAGTTGTGGTGCAGTGCAGTAGCTTCATCTTCTGCATAGACAATGGTATATTCCATGGCTAGAGAAGATAATTCATGAATGAGTAAAGTGATTGGGTATTTTTCTGCTAATATTGATATTGATATAATATTTATTTATTTTTGGTGGGCCTGGCATTGGGATGTCCTTTGTAAGCAGGACATGATTTTCAAGGGATAAATTTGTTGGTATGTTGAGAGAATCAGAGTGTTTTGGGTTTGATCTTTTTCTTTGACAAGGTGCATTCTGTTCTTTACATAGGCTTTGGAGCCTGCTGCAGCTATGGTGTCTCCTGCCTTGTCGGGCACTGATGTGGAAATCTCTGAATGCCCATCTGATGGGGCACGCTGCATCAGACAACCGTACTGCCTGCTGCAAATTTGCCCCCAACCCCTACTGTTTATCTTCCTTTCTCTTAAATCCTGTTGATTGCTTTTAGTAAATTCGTTTAGACAAAAATATTACTCGATGGTGAATGACAACGATGGCTTTGGCTCTTTGTTTTTCCTAACAAAAGAGAAACAGTCATTTCATCGCATGGTAGAACGATAGAAGGTGGTGTGATCTCTATTCTCTAAGCTGCCAACACCAAGAGTGGCGTCGTGAGCTTTGTAGCTTGCGACAATTCTTCATAAAAAATACTCAGCCATCACTCTCCCATGTCCATGTATTCTCGCGCTGTGTTGTTTGGGAAAAGAATAGCTAAAGTAAAAAACCAAAGGGCAGCAAATATCTGAGACTGGGCAGCTGAGTTGACAGTCTGAAATGAGGCATAGCATGTGTATTTTCCTTGTCACCCTGTTTCTAGGACAAGCCTTGTATTATCCCATGGTAAAATTCGGTGGCTGAGACCTGTGGATGTGGTCCAATCGCGCCAGTTGCCGCATGGATTGCCACGTGGCAAATTTGGAACCGTTGACCGGAAGGATCAATCTCCAAATACCCCCTCCTGAAAATTAAATCCAATCTTCAGTAAGACCACACTCATGTTATTGACATGTCACTGAACGATTCCTAATCTGTCCGGTGAAATTCCGTAAAAATAGACTGATCAAAATTTGGATACTGTGCCAACTCTCAATTGGGGCATATTCGGTTTAAGCAATTCTGATATGCCAAGTATCCATTTCTTTGTGACACTCGTGGGTGTTGTCTGGTCATGATTTTTAGTAACGTTATGAAAATCAAGAAATCGAATGTATAAGCAGGTTTGATTCATAAATTATAAAGGAGAATTGTATGGGCTCTTGGAATAACTTTATTGTATTTGGTTTCAATGCAAATAAATTTGCATTGGTGCAAAATCATGGCAGTGCATATGATTTGAGTGTAAATTCTGATCTATTTTTGTTTTAAATTTTAGTTTATTTTGTTTGGTTGCAGTATAAAAAGCAGAATAAAGTAAAATTCAAAACAAAAATTTGCGTTTTTTATATTTACACTTACATGCATTTGTATTAGTGTAAATAAACGTCAAACACAGCTTAAAGATTTGTAATAAATATATTTAACTTCAATTGTTTACAACAAATGCCCTTATAGCTCAGTGGTAGAGCGTCAGTCTTGTAAACTGAAGGTCCGTAGTTCGATCCTGCGTGGGGGCATTCGCTTTTCGTTTTAAAACTTACGGTCCTTCGCTACGAACTCAAATGCTCAGGGGAGCAGGGCCCCACGGGAACGGGTGGGTCATATTGCCATTTCTACTAAAATAATAATATAATAGTAATAATAAAATAGTAAAATCAACAGTAATAGGAGCACTTTATTTAAGTCCTTCATACTCGGACCACTCGACTAATGTAGTTAAATCAACAGTAGCATTGAGTCCCCACCATTTTTGAGTCTCTCTCTCTCCCCTTATCCATTCATTTTCAATACAACCATGACTTTAAAATTAGATACAGACATGCTTTGGAAAGGCATGGATACATACAAAAAATATGAAACCCTTGAATACTATAATGTATTAGCAAAACACATTCAAATTTCATAAATACATTAAGAACAATAAATTTAAGGTCAACTAGCCATAGTATGTATGTATGTATATATGTATTAATGGTGTACATGCATGAAAGAATATATTACAATTAATATAGCGGGATGAATAGATATCATACAATGCGTTAATCAAGAGTCCAAGATAAAACATATGGACCAATTATATTTTCTAATTATTATATTAAGTATTTTCTATTTTATTATTTTTACTTTTTAAAATTAACAAAAAAGTTAACCAAATATTAAATTCTCAAATATAAATTATATTGTCGTTTAATAATTTATAAAAATATATAATCTTAACTTAAAATATATCAAATCTGTTAAAATTTCTAAGATATATCATATATAAATTCATAATTTTTAACTACTAAATAATTATTTAAATATTAAAATTTTTATTCTATATTTTTTTTGAAATAAAAATAATTTTTTGTATAAATTTAAATTAATGGACTTGATAGATTCAATTTAATATTATATTCTTGAATATTTTTATATTTTTTATATTTTTTTTTGTAAATAATAAATATATTGTTATTTAATGTTAATTAATAATTCTAAAATATAAAAAAAATTGTAAGATATATATCATGGGAAAATGTATGCATTTTAAGTACTAAGATAATTTGTATAAATTTCCTGAGATTAAAACCATCTTTTGATGTAAATATGTGGATTTGATAAATTATTTATTTCATTTGTTTATAAAATGTTAATTTTAAATATTATTTCTTTTAATTTTTAGTTGAAATTATTAAACATAAATATGTATTATTTGTTTGAATTAAATATGGACACAAAAAATAATAAAAATTATTTTATTTCATTAAATGCCATAAGACATGAAATGGCTTATCGGTTTGAAGTGTTAAGAGCTTCAATGTTACATTAGGTGATTTGGGTTCAATAGGTCATGTCTGATTTGAGACCATCTGTACCAGTCCCATCCCAAATTATTTATATATTAACAAATCAAGTGTTTTTAGTCAAAATAATCTTATATATTATTTATCAAATTAAATTATCCTTTTACATATAAAATAGAATAAAGATTACAGGAAAAAAAACTAAGAAACCTTTATAGCAGTTCAGGTCTAAATAGACAAGAGCCAGAACCAATCCAATTATTAACCATAACCGAATCACATCAATTCGGATCTGTTGGACAGAACCCATCCATTGACAGTCCTATCTCATTTGGACATATTTGGGATGTCCCAAGGACAAAATATGCTCAAAAATATTGAATGGATGGAAAACTAACTCCTCACAAAACCATCAATTCCATCTTACTTCACGGCGACCCAATTCTTGCCTAACTTCTAGTGTTAAGTAACTTATCAAGAATGAACACGCCAATATTCTATACACATGGTGTGGGTCTATGAATACAAAACACCGGAATGTTCGCTCTTGATAATCACTCTTTGCCTATTCTCTTCCTTACTATAGATTCAGCTAAATCATTGACAAGGTTCAAAAGACTGGATTGGTATTGTAAAGTATATCAATAAGACAACTTTAAGATGTATATTAAAATAAACTTTGGATATATATAAAATGAGGTTCGTTTGATTTGTAATCAGAATTGGAATGGTCCATTCTCATAATCTATTTAGTTTATACAGGAATGAGAATGAGAATTAGAATCAGCAGAAATGAGATTTCATTCCTAAGAAAGGGATAGAAAATGGTCATTCCCTCAAATGGGGGAATGTCATTCCAATAAGAATGGGAATGAGATTCTGATTCTGCCCAACCAAACTGTTGGAGTCAGAAGAGCGTATTCCAATTCTGATTCCAGACCAATATTCCTGCAAACCAAACAGGGCCTAAGATATACTGATGCCTGCAAAACTAATGGTAATAGGAACAGAAATCAGGATATATTTGGGAATGGAGACCAAGAGATATTTTCATATAACCTCCTCCCTCAACTTGATTTAATAATCCATAAAATGGAAGGGGTGCATTTTTAAGTCGCATGTGTGCAAAATAAGCTTATTCAGGGTGTGTTAAAATTTCTACTATATCTCATTTGTTTTTTTGCTGATGATGTTTTTTTTTTTTATTGCTTTAGTTAACCTTTTGGATTTGACTAATCAATTCTAAAATGTTTTTTAAGTCAGATGATTAATCTTAATAAATCTGTATGTGGCAAAAGTAATTTTCATGAAGCCTGTTCTTAAAGCTGTACCTAATCATGATATATCTTTTTAGGCAGCATTTGGCATTCTTTATTTTAAGGAATTATCTCTTTTTAGCTGTTAAAAATTCAGTGTTCAGCATTTTAACTACAAAAAAGAGATAAATCCTTAAAATAATGCCAAATGAAGCCTTATTCGATTTACTTAAAAAAATCATGAGACAGATGGACTTCAAAGAAAATTTTAGTGGTCTAATGGATATGATTTCTCTTGAGGATTTAAATGGATGTCTTGGGATGTTACTGTATAGTGGAGTGGGTCTGAGAAGCGCTGCGGATATTGACAAAGCCCTAATTCTTAAATGTGCTTGGAGATTTGTTAGCTCTTCTGATGAACTTCGGATTAAACTGCTTAGAGCTATGTATCTTACCAATAACAGTGGTTTCCCAACCATATTCGGCAAAAAGATTCTTTGTTTTGGAGATCTTCTGCTCAGAATTTAATGGAGTTAAAAATCTTTTGGGCTTTTTGGTTTCTAGAAACTCTGTTTTTACTGTTTGGAATCTGGCAATCTGCCATGGATTTGGAATAGAAACTGTTTTAACTCTCTCATGGGACTTCTCCTAGAACTCAAATGGCTATGACAGTGAACAACTTGATTTCGGAAGTAAATGATTGTTGGGAACTTGGGATAGAGATAAGCTTGAGACTCTTTTCTGTAGTTTTATAGTGGATGAGATTATGAATATTCATATTTTTAATGATGATTCAGACAATAAAGTCATTTGAGCTAAATCCAAGATTGGAAATTTTCTCTCCAAAGATTTATTGTTCTAATTCTTGGGCACTGAGGGGTTTACCATTGGACAGCTCTATCCTTTCAATTATTGCAAAGGTTAAAGAAATAGGAGGTTCGAGAATGATATAAGGGCCTGTTTTGGTTCACAGGAAGGGTTTGGAATCGGAATCAGAATGGATCATTCCAATTCCAATTATTTGGTTGGGTAGAATTGGAATCTCATTTCCATTCTTGCTGGAATGGCATTCTCCCATTTAAGAAAATGTTCATTCCCTACACTTCCTTTGGGAATGAAATCTCATTCTAACTTATTCCAATTCTTATCTGAACCAAACAGATTATGCGAATAAACTATTCCAATTCGGATTCTAATTTCAACTCCGACCGTAAACCAAATGGATCCTAAGTTTTTCTTTTGGAAAGTTTTTTGTGGTTTGGCAGGAATCACAGAAGTTTTGATGGCTAGGGGCTTTATTGTCTTCCACAAACTGTGTTTTCTGTAGTGATCATAATGAAATCTCATACATGTCTTTTATCAATGTGTTTATGTTAGAAGTGTGTGGTTCTCATCTCCTTGGGGCTTAAGAACTCTTTTTGACTCTTTAAGTAACTTGTCTCAAGTGATTTTGCATTACTATAATGACTTTAAACAGTTGTGTATGGAGGAGTTTCTGAATTGGCTGGCTGTCTCACTTTATTATATTTGGGTTGTGTGTAATTATATTGTTTTTGAGGGAAAATGTAAATCGGTATACTGGATCATTCGTAGAACAAACTGGATTATTTCTACTTACAGAAAAAATTAGTTCAAAGCTGAATGATTCAATAGGTTATATTTCTGTCTTCAAAGCCAAAGTAGCAGTTCTAGAAAGAGGCAGAGTAGTTTATTTGTAATCAAGTGTGATGGTGATGGTGCTGTGCTGCAAAACATAAAAATAAAAGGAGCCTATGGTTTTATCTGTTTCTCTAATTCAGGTCAATTCCTCCTTCATGCTGCATGTGGTGTATTTTAGTCCCCCTAAGAAGCAGTGGAGGATGAACTTCATGCTTTAGCTTTGATCAGACAGATTTTCCTTCAAACAAGTGGCATTCTATTTTTTTCAATAAAGAGCATCCAACAAGGATTGCTCTCAAGAAGTGATGGTGTTCTATTTTCTCAAGAAAGAACATCTAATAAAAGTTTATCCATTCTCAAATTGAAATTTTATTCTTCAAACACGTCTCAATGGTGTAAGCCCCATTTTTTTTTTAAGAAATAGGTTGTTAATTATAAATTAAACCTGATTTAACTTTTTAAAAATAAAGAACTCATATTAAATATACCATTAGATCTTAAAAAAATGATTATAGGTATTCTCTAGTTAACGAATTTTGTCAATTCCCGGGTTTTAGGAAACTCGGACCCAGAAATGGGACCTGACAATGGTTTGAACAATTTGATCGTCCAGATCAACTCAACCACCAGACTCCACCTTATCCATCCAAAAAAAAAGTACACTATTTTTCAAGCCAAATGGCAGATCTTCATTAAATAATGCTGAAAATACCAAGGTTCAAAGTATCGATACCTATCGGCCAATACGGCTGATACGCCCCTTTAGGGGTTGTATTGGGTCAGCCACCGGTTTAAAGGGTAACCAGGCCTTAAACCGAACCCACTGAACAGGTTTCAAAAAAATAAATAAATAAAACGTAAAAAAAATGTACTGACACATGGTGTATCGGCCCATGTCGATATTTAGAACCTTAGAGAATACAATCAAATACCAATAATAACTGGCAACCACAAAGGAACGATAGGACACAAAACAAGTAATCTACTTTGCCTGAAGAACTAAGTTAGCTGTGTTTGGTTTAAAGGAAAAAGTAGGGAAACCATTACAAACCTTGTATACTTTTTCTACCTTTTCCTTCAAACCAAACGTAAGTTAACAATGGAACAAGCGATATGAGCATTAGGAATATCCTGCAAGATCTTTGTAGACAGCATCAAACATCAAGAAACACCAACAATGAAGGTTGAGTGCCTCGTCAGAGAACAACTCTCATAACAATGACGTCCAGGACAAAACCTAATGAAACACTAATTACTCATGGTGATACTGGGGGCGATTGTGGGCTTGTCTCCCTAGGCCCGTGAGCAATAGTGATAGAGAAATTCTTGGACTGAGCTTGCTTCTTCGGGCTGGACCGTCCTTCGATGAGCCAACAGTGGAAAAAAAAGAACACAAAACCCGACCTTAATAATCTCCCCAACAAGAATTACCACAATACCACAACAATGATTTTATTTTTTGTTTGGTTCCCTCGATTGATATCATCTATATTAACCAAAATATAAGTTGTTAAGTTACAATTGGTATCATCTATGTTATAACTGTATAAGGAGTTTGAAACTATTCATTTTCTACAAAACCAAAACAAAAAAGATGATCTATCAACGAAATTTTGACATAGCTACAACAAGTTGTGAAATCATCGAATCCCAGTCAAGTAACGATTCTTCACATCATTACGACGACGTAATTTGAAACTACCATTTTTGCGGGATTTCTTTGAGTACAAAACCTCATCAGCTTCATCATCATCACTATCAGCCATCTCGGGGACCAATCTAGTCTGCATGCTCATACGTCTCAGGATGAAGACATTGAAGTAATAGCTCACTATGCTTTTTTTGCACTTCGATTGGAAGCGTTTCAAAGCAGGCTTCCAAAAGCTCTTACCCCTCGATGGAGGATTCGTTTTCACGAGAGATTCAAAGCTCCTCTGGTCATTAAATGACCATGATCTGGAAACTTCTTCCCCCATGCAATCAAATCTCCAGGTGAAGAAAGCAGGACCCAACTCAGATTGTAATCTAAGCCTCTCCTCGTTAATGTGGCATTTGATGCAGTCGGTGGATCCTGGAGATGTGCAAAAACAGGTGTTTGATCTCCCTTTTCCAATCAATTCATCAGATTCTATAATCTTGTCTTCGATCGGCCAAACCCGGGTGCCCAACCAACTTGAATTATTTAAACTGCTATCACCATTATACAAGTTCTTGTTGGGTGGACCAATCCACTCTGGCAGATCAGCTTGAAATGGAGGGCCAACAGGAATTACTAACTTTGGAACATTGTCCCCAATGAAATTCAGTAGCTGTTGTTCATAGCTCGATTTGTTTGAACCACTCAATGAGTCTGCTGAATCAAGTAAGACTGAAGCATCTTTGTTGCTTGGACTAGTTAAGTCTTGTAGAACAGATTGGCAGCTACTTGGAATATTATCAACGAATTTTGTTATCTTGGCTGATTTTTGAGTTTTTTCAGTTGATTGCCAAGGACTAGATGGGTTAGAGTCACTAACTGAATCATCAGAATCAATTAACGAGGCATCTTTGTTGGGTGGATTACCCCAATTCGTTCCATCATCCTGGAATGAGTGTTCAACAAGGACCTGATTTCTTGGAATATAGATTTCAAACTTCAATAAGCTCAATGAACAGCTTGAATTGTGAACCATCCGCCGACTATAACTTTCAATTGAATCAGCTGAATTTATTATGCATGGAGTTGAAGAACCAAAGGAGCCTTGTCTGCTTGGTCCTATAGAACTTTGCTCATTTGATTCCACTTTATTCAAGTCACAAGTGATTGTTGATGATTCCTGTACAAAATGAACTTTTCGCCTTTTCTGAAATAAAAGGAGATAAATATTTTAGTTGGATTAGAAATGGTAGAAGAAAATTATAAGATATGGAGGTGAAAAGATGTTGAAGACACTTGTACAAAAATTATATAAATTGCCTGAAAAATACGTTGAAAAAATAGTAATTTGGGGACATTTTATTGGACATGAAAAAATACAATAAAAGAAACACAGCAATATTGCATTTAAATATTCACCAAAAAACAAATGGTAAAATAATGAATAAATATTGTCAAAAGTAAAAAAAGAACATAAAAGAAAATGCTATTGAGGTGAGATGAATTGTCACTGGACATTTCCTCTAAGGCTCTGTTCATTTTATACCTGGGCAAGTGTTTTCCCAGGTAAAACTTTGCCTGGGTAAGCACACTTCCTCCATTCTTGACAGTTGAAACTATACATTTACCCTGGTAAAGAGAGATGAGAGGGAGAGACTAGAGAGTGCTTACCAACTTCAAATCTTCAATCAGCAAGTCCTTAAGTTGGTAACTGATACCCTAAGGTAGCACGGGACCCAGTATAGTGGAAAACGAACATGGGTAAGATGGCCAACTTATCAGTTGACCAACTTAANCCCCGCCCCCCCAAAATGGCACTAGATACCAGCAAACAAACGAGGCCTAAAGTTGTCAATGGTGAACTGGAAAGGGCTTCCACTACTTTCAGATATGATGGTAGGCTATGTAGGGTGAAGGAAGACAGCATGCAGTCGACCAAGAATGAGCAGAAGATTAGGAAGAAAGAGAATAACACTTTCTGTTGGAACAAACAGCAATGAAATAGATTATTTAAAAGGAATAAGTGAGAGAGATATAGAGAAAGATAAAAGAGTGAAACATCTGGCTACAACTAAAATTCACTAAACAACAACAAAACCCTCAGCTTGTTAGCTTAAGAACCAATAAGGATAGGACAATGCAGGAGGGTGCTGAAATATTAATAAACAAAAGCTTGAGTGGACAGTTTGGAAGGTCTGGTTAGAGGTCTAAGATGGTCATAGGGTTGAAACAACAAGTAAGAAAGTCTATTATTCTAAGATAACTGCAGTGACTGAACAGAAGCAATACAGAAAGAAAGAAGGATGTTGTAAGAGGATAAAGGAGAATTAAAGAGAAATTGAGGAATCAGTTTATAATTGAAAGATTGCAATAGCAGGAGATAAAGAAGATCAAATTAAGATTAATAATATGAACAAGTTCATGAAATAAACAGAAAGCATGTTATAAAATAAGGATAGAGTCTAATGAAATCAACACCATTAAGTTTCTCTAGGAGTCAGCACCTTCAAGCTTGGACTCAGCACCAAATGATAAAAATTGTAAGAACAAATTTAACTATCATCTATTCATTCTCTCAAAAGAGCCGATTTGATACATGGGAATACTTGGAAGAAACATAATTTTTTTTCGACACAGTGAAGAAACATAATAGATCTTCTAAGATCTACAACATATTTGATTTTCCTAAACATAAAAAGAACTAAAATTACCTGTAATTGAAACTTATTCAATATATCTTAAAGATTTGAAGAAAATCTTGAAGATTCATCTATTATTAAGCATATATTTAGAATCCAATCGGAGTCTGCCGTTGATAATAACATTGATGAAGGGAGAAGAGGGGGCGAAGAAAAAGAAGATGAGTCAAATGGAGACGAAGTTATGGTAGAAAAAACCCATGGGTTAACAAGTCATTTGATGTGCAAAAGGTTGTAAATGCAGGTGTCAAAGTGGGCAAAGCTTTGTGTTTATTTGTCTTAGGAGAGGAATTTGTGAGAAATAAATCCAAAGAGTTCGAAGAGAGGTGCCCAATGCCTATAAGGGAAGCTGAGAAGGATTCTGAAGGAACTAATTCAAGGCCTGAAGATTTGAGCAGTGAAGAGAATTCTGCTCAACCTGCAGAGTTCAGCAATAATAAGAATGAAGCTTTGGAAGCAGGTCAGCTTTTTGGAGAAAAAAAACTCTGTGCTGGAACTGGAAAGGATTAATGAGAAGACTAAAAATTTGCTGGAGCTTAGAAAGGATAATCTTGCAATTAGAAGATTTAAGACTCAGAAGAGACATCAAACAGTATTGGTGTCAAATGTTTTTGATAGACTAAAAGGAGGGCTATTTGGGCTCGGTCCAAGAAAGAAGGATTTGAAATACAGGAAAAACCAGAAAAATAAATAGAGAAAAAATGATGCTGCTCTTATTTTCTTCAGTTTGTGGATGGGAAGTACTTGTTTGGGGTCTTTTTCCTGTTTCTAATCAACTGGCTAGCCTTTCAGTGTATGGAGAAATTTGGTGGTGATATGAGTTGGTTCAATCTGTTTGTTTTATTCTCCTTCAGGTGACTTCTGGTCACCTTCCTTGTATTTATTTTTTTATCTTAATAAAATTTACTTTATTACCAAATCATGTGGGGTTCACTTAAGTTGATAGCTAACTAATTGGGCTTTTCTGAAGGGCTGAACGTTGTGGTCCTTGGGCTCAAGCCCAATGGATTGTTTACTGCTACATCATTTTAGGCCCATGGAATTAGGCTAGTTTCACAAGGACATGGTGAAATTCAATTGTTGGTTCATTATGATAAATTAGTATCTGAAGTGAGAAAAGTATGTTTTTAATTTTCCTCTTCTTAGGCTCTGGCCCCATATCCCTCATTGAATAGATAAGTCAATAACATATCTGATGACACCCACATCTTGCAAAACAAACAAAGTTTTCACCTTTAAAAAAAGGCTGAAAAAAAAGTCACATGATTGCAACCATAACTTTGCAAAATTCAAAAAAAAAAAAAAAAAAACTGTCTACAACTCTTCAAACTATTATAACCCTTTAAGATGACTAACCCTATCCTTGCAACACTAAAAAACTAGAAAATAACTTAAAAAAAAATCAAATTTACCAAAATCTCAATCACCCAAGAAACAGGAAATTGTCATCAGCAAGGAAATCTGAATGACTTCAACATCTTCCTCTATGGTTTCTTTCCTTTGTTACATGACTACATCAGTTGCACTTGTGATTGCAAAATCCTATCACAAAACACCTTCATGTTGTTGCTTATCGTAGGACTAGAAATCAGGAAATGTCTCTTTGCAAGGGATACAACTCCCTAAAAGAGGTGAACGAAATGACTTCATTTTTCTCACCTAAAAGACATCATCATCATCATCTAAGCCTTGTCCCAATTATATGCAGTCATCTACACAAATCCTGTTTAGCCATTCCATTATGTTAAGTGTGACAGCTCTTAAAAACTATCAGAAAAAAATTATGAGCTCTTAAACCATCTAAAATCCAGGCCCTTTTTGGTCTGCCCCTAGCTCTTCCCATATTTTAAAAGCACTAGGGTCTTTTAGTGCTTAAGGTGCAAGGCTAGGTGTGCACCCTTTTGAAGCAAGGTAAAATTTTCAAAATGCAGTTTTGAATAATAAAAGAGATTTGCTGGGAAGTCTTCTATGGGAAAATCAATACTTTGGAAAACTTACAGAAAAAGTGACCCTCTCTGTCTTTCCCCAAATTGGTGTTCCTTGTATAAGGCCGAGAATGAGGACTGTTTCCATTTGCTGATCTCCTGTTCCTTTGCTACAGTTATATGGAGGTGGAGCCTTTGTTTATTTGGAGGTGGGTGGTCTATGCCTTCTGATTTAAGCTCGTAATTCAACCCATCTGTCTTTGTTTGGCACACTAGAAGAGGTAAGGTCATGTGGAAATGTGTCRGGGCAKCCACTYTGTGGACTMTTTGGGAGGAAAGAAATGCAAGAATTTTCTTAGAGAAGGAAAGAGGGTTAGATGAAATGAAGGATTGTATCATAACAAGAGCAATCCATTGGCTGAAAACTGTGGATATTTTTGATGACTTGTGGAGGAATTGGCTAATAATAGCCAACACTTCAACAAAGAAGGATAGAATTCTGTCAGAATGGGTTCCGCCTTTGGAAGGTGTCATCAAGCTGAACTTTGATGGAAGCAGCCAAGGTAACCCCGGGCCTTCAGGTATAGGGGGTATCCTGAGAAATAAGGACATCAACATAATTTCCTTATTCTCAGGACCGGTGAGAGTGGGGGATTCCACAAGGGCAGAAATCCTTGCTGCAGTACAAGGAATTCAGATCACCAACCAGCTTGGGGTGGAGCATCTCCTTGCTGAAGGGGACTCTCAGGAGGTAACAAGGTGGCTCCTAAACTTGGATACCACCATTTGGGGCTACAAAGATCTCATCAAAAAAGAAAAGTGGTTAACTAGCAATATGAGAGTTGAGGTAAAATGGGTTAGTAGGTCTGCTAATTCTTTGGCTGATGCTTTAGCCAAACAGGGGGTTTCTAGGGAAGATTATTTCTGTGCTTCTTTGTAAGTTGTTATTAATTTGAAAATCTGTACTTAACTAGCCTGGAGAGGTTGGAACTCGTGCCTTTCCTCGGGGACTTTGTACTATTGTCTATCGTTGATTAATAAAATTATTTCAATTATCAAAAATAAAACAATAAAAGAGATTGCTTTAAAAATTTTATGGCTCAAATTAAAATACAAAAATGTAACATATAAAACATATTCAAAGTGAAACTAAAAGTAAAAGCAAACATATGTGGATTGTACTACTGTGCTTCAAGCGCACAACAATTCAAGCATGTGACTTTCAATCTGTTTTTATGCCATATATACAACGAGAGTGGCTTTGTGGTTTTAGTTGTAGTTCACTCTACTTTAGAATTAAGAATTAGATATTATTTTATGAGGGGGCAACAACTAATATTAAAACATCAGTGGGAGAGACTTAATTTTACAGTTATGATGGGTCTTCACCAAGGTTTAGTACATAGCCCTTATCAATTTGCATTTGTCATAGATGAATTGATTCAAAATATTCAGGAGAAAGTTCCATGGTGCATGTTGTTTGCGGATGACATTGTTTTAATTGATTAAACTAATGAAGGATTAAATGCAAAATTAAGCTTAAAATAAATATAACATGTAAATTTAGTACTAATAGGAGTGTAAATCAGGATACACTTTGGAATGGAGACCAAGAGGTAACTTAATGTGACCATTTCCAGTACCTTGGTTCAATAATTCATAACAAGAAAGAGATTGAGGATGTCAACCAAAGAATTAGAGCATGATGGGCAAAATGGAGGGGTGCATCTAGACTTTTATGTGATAGGTGAATACCGCTCAAGTTAAAAGGAAAATTCTATAAAACAATTGTAAGGCCAGTTATGTTGTATGGAGTAGAGTGTTGGGCAGCTAAGAAACATGTCCAAAAAATGAGTGGCATAAATGTGAAGGCTAAAATGGATGAGCGAAAAAACTAGAAGAGTTAGGATTACGAATGAAGTCATCCGTAGGAACCTAGGAGTTGCTCCAATAAGGTGATAAAATGAGAGAAAGTAGACTATGATGGTTCAGTCGTGTGCATAGAAGACCATCAACAACACCAATTAGAAGTAACTTGTTACAAGTTGAAGCGTCTAGTAAGCCTAGGGACAGACCGAAAAGGACTTGGGCTAGTAGTAAGAAATGATTTAAGCACTAATAATTTAACAGTGGATATGGCTTTAAACAAAATGGATTGGAGAAATAGGACTCATGTAGTTAACCAAATATAGTTGGGATAAGGCATGGATGGTGGTGAAGATGATGATGATGATGATAAATTAGATATCATTTTCATGAAGAATGCCTTATACTAAGAAGGATGAGGAAATAATACCAGCATAAGGGGGTTTTACCGATTAAAACTAGGTAAGTCATCCTTCCCATTGTCCCAAGAATGGCTAAGGTTTTTAATATCTTCCTTAAACTCGAATTTCCTTGAAATAATAAAGGAGTGACATATATAAACTAAGAGCTTAGATGAAAATGATTTCACTTGAACAAGGATTGTGATTTCAATTAGGAGAAAAAAAACTATTCTTTAAACATTAAAAAAAAAAGATAACAAAAATCTTTTCAAAAATGAGATTTTCTAGGAATTTTTTGATAAGTAGATTTTATAGGAAACTTCAAAATGGGGTTCTGTTGATTAAAACTAGTTAAGTCACCTTTCCCGCTGTCCCAAGAATGGCTTTAAGGTTTGTAATATCTTCCTTACACTCGAATTTCCTTAAAATAATAAAGGAGAGCAATTCATATAAACTAAGAACTTGAATGGAAAATGATTTCACCTGAAAAAGGTTTGCAATTTCAATATGGAGGAAAAAAAACTATTCTTCATAAATGAAAAAGTAAAGACAAAAAAGTCTTTTCAAAAATGAGATTTTCTAGGAATTTTTTTACAAGATTTTATAGGAAATTTCAAAATGGATTCAAGTTTTCCAATTCAAAGTGTTAGGGGAAATATATTCTTCAAATTGAACATCCAAAAAGGGTTAACATGATTAGAAATTAGTCATACATCTTACAATAGGTAGTGTTCCAAACCTTATAGGCCATGACATAACTTAATTATTGTAAGCTTCTGTAATACAATATAAATGAATATCATAAATGGGATTTTCTAAGGTGTCGTCATGTTTGTCCACTCTGCTAACCCCCTCAAAGGAATATCATAAAAGGGAAAGAATGTAAAGAAGAAGAAGATAAAGTTGTTCTTTTTTATTTTTCTTTCTTCCATCAATTTACAGAATGCGAAGACCTAGGCCACTTTTAGATAATTGGAATGATATATATTTTTATCAACAAATTAGTTTCGTTTATTAAGAATTGAATCAAATCATAAGTGTTTTAGCTATTTAGTAGTCTGGATTAAATCAGAATACAACTTTGCCCAAATTAAGTAGGTCTATCAACTTCCCTTTTTCCTACATCAGATTACAACTTTGCCTAAAATAAAGTATGTCTATCAGCTCCCTGTTTTGCTAGAACATCTGCCAATCCATTTGTTGTCCTTTTTACCCAGCTAAATTTTTAACTGGAATGATGTATTTCAACCAAGAAGAAACAAGGTCATGATTCTTTCCATAAACCATTGAATCAGGTTGAGAACTATATCATGTAAAACAACCGTGGCTTTAACCTTTTCTACCAAGAAAGCATGTTAACCAATGGCATAAACGGTTCTAGCCAATTCACTTTGAATAAGTCTTAGGGGGTCTGGGATTAGGGAATTTGGTCCTAAAAAATGAAGCTTTATTGGGAAAGTGGCTATGGAGATGGCCTCTGGAAAGAGAGTTTGTGGCATAGGGTTGTGCTTAGTATTCATGGCTATTTTGTCTCTGGTTGGGATGCTGGGGTATCTCATTAGGCTACCCAAACAACACCGTGGAAGGCAATACATGGCGTCCTCCCCAAGTTCCTTTAATTTGTAAGGTATGATACTTGCTCCGGAAATTTGGTTCTTTTTTGGAAAGACACTTGGGTGGGTAATCAACCTCTAAAAGACCTATTTCCTTCTCTGTATGCCCTTTCCCTTTATAAAAAGGAGGTTATCTATGTCTTTCTTCCCCTTCTAGTTTTACCTTTATCCTTGAACTGAGACTTTGGTTTTCATAGGGACTTAAGGGAGGAGGATCTTGCTTGTGTTATTGAACTTCTATCCATTCTAGAGAGTGTTTGCTTGGACCCCCCTTCTCCTGATAAAAGGGTGTAGACTCCTATCCCAAAAGGTTCTTTCACTTGTGCATCCTTCTTCAAATCCCTTTCTTTGAGTACTTCTTTTAAGCCATTCCCAGTGAAAGGAGTTTGGACAAAGCCTGTGCCCCCCCGCCCCAAAAATTGTTCTTTTCTACTAGGAAGTGTACCTTGGTAAGATTAATACTTTGGAGAACTTACAAAAGAAAAAGGCTTTGATTTATTTGTCCCCAAACTGGTGTGTATTGTGCAATTCTCATAGTGAGGACTGTTACCACTTACTGGTTTCTTGTTCCTTTGCTACAGCTCTTTGGGATTAGGTGTTTGTTTTGTTTGGATGTAGGTGGAATCAACCAGCAGGGGTAAAATCATTATTCTCACCAACTACCTTTGCTTGCCTAATAAAAAGAGGGAGGAGTATGTGGAGATGTTTTAGAGCAGTCACCTTATGACAATTTGGGAAGAAAGAAATGCTAGAATTTTCCAAGATAAAGAGAGGTCCTTTACAAAAGTGAAGGAATGTATCTTAACCAGGACTATCCATTGGTTGAAATCCTTGGCTTCTTTCAGCGCTTTTTCATTTGATGACGTCTGGAGAAATTGGGCCACAGTTGCACACACTTCGGTTAGAAAAAACCAAAGCCACTACAGTTTGGATAACTCCCCCAGAAGGTTTTTTTAAACTGAATTTTGATGGAAGCAACCAGGGTAACCTAGGACCATCTGGCATTGGAGGAGTATTGAGGAATGAAAATGGCAACATCATATCCTTATTCTCAAGCCCGATAGGGATAGGGGACTCTAGAAGAACTGAGATATTGGCTGCAACACAGGGAATTCAGATTGCTAATCAACTAGAAGTGGAAAACCTTTTGATTGAAGGGGATTCTAAGGTGATTGTGGGCTGGCTGTCAAATCCAGACTCGGTGGTTTGGAGTTATAGGGATCTCATCAAAAAAGTTAAATGTTTAACAAGGCACATAACATGTAGATATCAGTGGGTGGGTAGGGAGGCAAATTCTTTGGTTGTTCATCTTGCTAAACAGGGGTCTACTAGGGACCTTTTATAATGGGCAGCATTGTAATTTTATTTCTGATCTCTTATAACTGTTAGGGGAGACTGCATCTCGTACCTCTCCAAGGGATTCTTGTAAAATCTTATTCCTTTTGTTTAATGAAATTATTTTCAATTATCAAAAAAAAGTCTTATATTTGAACTAATAAGTTATGTATTTTAATTTAAACTAATAAGTTTTTTAAAATATTTAGTTTAAAATTAAAATTTGTATTTTTAATTAATATTATTTTTTAATATTTCTTCATTATTTTTATTTTTTACACTTTTTGCAATTTTTATTACATATTTTTTTTAATTTTGTGCCTTGCTTCAAAAAGGCATGCCCCTCACCTTGTGCCTTGCACCTTAGGCGCAAAGTTCCCTTTGTGCTTTTTTTGCACCTTGCACTTTTAAAACACTGATGATGGGAGATGGGTACTCATGTGAAATCTTCATACATTCTTCTGATGCAAAATTCAAGGGTAGTAGAACGGTATACTCATAAGTCATGATGTGACCAACAATGACATACAACACAAAGTTGAATGCTAACAAGCATTCTTTCAAATTAAATGTAAATATTTTGTTTTTAACATATAAACCAAATTTGACATTGATACAAAGAATATACTAATCAAACAATCCAAATTCCCCTTGTGTTCCAGGTTTTTCAATGTAAAATGGACAAAAATTTTTTACTCTAAAATAATTCAGTTATGTTTTCACCCCTTTATGGGAAAAATACTATTTTGTCTCATTTACATATAAGAAAAACAGCAGCCTTAAGGTTAAAACTTGTAATCAAATATTAATTGCATACACGTGATACATGTTACTCACTACTTATATCTTTGGATATATGCCAATAAGTGTCAAATGCATAAAAAATAAGTAGCCTTCTGACTTCAGTTCATAACATTGGTAATATCTAAAACCTACATAGAGTTTTTTCTGATTAATCCATCCCTTATTGCAAAAGAACTCTGATTAACACTTATACAAGCATTGGTATAGCTATGAAAAATGAGATAGGATGATGGAAAAGATATGATAGGAAAGAGATATGTATTCTTGAGCTTACCCAAGGAAGAAAAGAGCTATTCAAGAAAAGAACTTTTCGCACAGTAAGAGTCCATGATTGTTGGACAGATCCAAATGATGATTTTGGATTAGATGGATCTATAGCAACTGTTCTTAACTGTAGTAACTTGTCCTCAAACGACTCATTTTTCCATCCAGGAGTGGTAGAATCGGTATAAAAGCTGTGATGAGAACTTTGATTTATAAGTTCTCTATTTAAAGAAACCTTATGCCTTTTTGCTTGTCTGTGACAAAGCTCATCACCTCTTAACACTGACTTCTTCATGTTCAAGATCCAGGTTGGTTACCCTCAACTCCTCAACCCTTTATTACTTCAAACCTGATACCAAAAACTTCCCGTAGTCAACTTTTTGATTGAATATAAATTGACTAAGAAAACTAGAAAAAGATATTCTCCTTCAATCAAAATCTCAATACTTCTGGTAAGTAATATACAAATATTCAATGAGGACAGATAAAAATCAGTAACCCTGGATTGTAATTCAGATCTTAGTCCACACAGTGCTGAACCCCGAGATTGGCTCATTTAGCCAAAGTGGACCGGCCATATATTCTTTCAAGGATCAAATAGTTATGGGAACTGATTAAATTTACCCTCCCTGTGGAATCCACATGCATTTGCATAGCATGTCCTGAATTTGAATAATGCTAACCATCCGATTGTAAGTTGGTGGGAACAGGCGTAAGCATGCACTCTACACCATCACCATGACACCGTCATTTGTGGGTTGCAACAAGAGCCTGGGAAGGGTGCCATAACTTGGCTTGTCTGCATGTCTCTATGCTACAACTGCCCCTACAACGTTGCCATGGCCAAACAGCTAAATTGTGTGTTACACATGATACATTTATGATTTACCAAGACCAAGAGGTCTCAGCTCGAGTCAGCAAACACTGTGAAGCTATCTGTGTAGGAGCAACCGGTGAAACCCGTCCATGCAATCCACAGAAGAGCACCAAAGAATCATGCAGGTTGTTTCACAAATAAATCCTCAATAAGAAATTTAAAAAACGAAAATAAATCAAGATACCCACAAAAAAAAACCGAAGAAAAAAGCAGTTAAGCAACTATTTTATGTTTGTGAAAATTACTCAAATAAAACCAGAATACAATGAACAAAGTGACGACGGATGAGGCACTCCGTCAATATGCTATCTACAAGAACAAAAGAGATAAACGGATTAATGTTAATTTATCTTCTTAACAAAAACAAGAAATATAATTAAAAAAGGAAGAGTAAAAACGGTTAATGTGAAAAATGGCCGCACGATACTTGGGCGATTTATTAAAGATGGTCCCACCAAGAACCAATAAAAAAGCGAGCTTTTTATAGTCTTTGAGAAATCCTCTCAAATCACAAACACCGTTCATGGGGGTCTTATTCGAGTAGGTGATCGAAAAATCACAGAAACAAGACGGCGCCAGCATACTCAGTCGATGGATCTTTTTCCTCTTTCTCTTCTCTTCTTTTTTTTTTTTTTTGTTTCTTTTGTCATGTAAAGTAAAGAGGTTTAAAGGGTTCCAGAGAATGAGACCAAAGTCTGGAGAAGAAGAATCGATCTATAGTTTCTATCCGGAGATCATTAGGGTTGAAGCTCAATCAAATGTATTTTGTTTTATACAATGTAGGAAATAATCAAACACAAAATCATAACATACCTTAGCAGTGGCTACTCAACTCTTTCATGCCAAACTCTATCACTGAGAGGGCTCCTCGCCCTCCTAGACGGAAGGAACGCCTTCTCGCTCTCTATTTATAGGTGGAAAGGCCTGTCAACCTTGGTAGACTTGCAGCACTGGTCTACAGTGTTGCTGATCGGTTAAGAAACCGTACAAAACATGGCGTTTGAAATATTTAAAGAAGATCCGGAGAAGTACGGATACAATGCAGTTATTAGCCCTCTCCCACCTATAAAACACATCTGCCCGTAAATTTAGCATCAATTTAAGGTCAGATGCATTCCCCTTGTAAGGACATTGAAAAATATTTGGAAAAAGTTCGGAAACACACGAAACAACTAGCCCTCTCCCCCCTATAAACCACATCCTGTCCGTGAATTTGACATTAATTCACGGTCAGGATGCATTCCCCCTGTACTTCGGGCCTAGTAAATTCTGATCTGGACTGATTGATATTTCTCCCAAAATATTTTAAGTGCATGCAAGTCAATATGAAGCTGTTAAATATATATAATTTTAATTTTTTTTAAAAATAAGTCATATTATTAAGGTTAAATATGTAAATTATCTTGGCATTTTAGGGTTTAAGGCTTTTAACATATCATGTTTGGAAGTGTTTCTCCAATGTTTTTTATGTTTATGTGGAAAAATAAAATATGTTTGGAACTAAAAGAATAATTTTAAAAATCGACCCGGAAATAGAACTGTTTTGGCCATCAATTTTTGAGTCAACGGTTTGATCGTTCGGGTCAAACAGTTCAAATAGTCTAATTAGATTGGAACATTAGGGCTTCACTATCTTTAGGGCCTATTCATTTGCTTTGACATTTTAATCTCTCAAAGTACAATAATTGCATTAAGAGGTATATTGGTATTGGTAAACTTTTCTTTACTATGAACTTTGAATACAAAGAATGTTGTTCTAATTTCTGAAAATTGTCAAATATTCATTTTAACCCCATATATGATAATCTTTGTTTGTCTTTGGGATATCATTGAAAAATAAAAAGTTGCAAGATTCCTCTTTAAGAGATAAAAGGAAACGAACACTTTTTTTCCTCTTAAAATTGTAAGATTCCTCTTAAGAGAAAAGAGTTAAGAGGAAACAAACAGAAAGAAATAACTCAAAAAGAGACATGTGGTTGTCGACTAAGAAAAAGGAAAGAAAGAAATAAAGGAAGGAGAGAAAGAAAAAGAAGGAATGGGGAATGAGGAAAGGAGAGGAGCATCCAACGTTCACCTGTGATGGCAACAATGACAATGGTGGCAACGACAATAGAAAATGCAGTGGCAACTTCATCTCTTTGAGATTTGATTTCTCTCAAATTTGCAATATTGCTTCTCATGTGTGTGTGTGTGTGTGTGTGTGTGCCTGGGGTCTTAGTGATCTCATATCTGAGTATTAGTATCTTCCCAATTAAAATGTGAACCGCTACCCAAATCAAACGGGTCGACGGTTCAACCACTCAGATCAACGGTTCTTTAACCAAATCAACAATTTTTTGCCCTGGAATGAATTAAGGGTGAAACGGAATTGGTTGCCTGGACGATTTCTAGGCCAAATGGTCCAATTGTCTAGGTCAACTATGTTTAAAGCCCAAAAACCATATCTAGTCCAACTATGTTCCTCTTCCTCCATCGACAAAGCGTCGCCACACCCCCTTTGTCATTTGTCTTTTTTGTCGACGACAAAGCAGGTAACACCTTCCGTGCATTGTTCACCATTCTCCTTTCTTTCTTTTTTTTTTTTTTTGTTATACTTCGTTATGTCGATTCAAATGGTACCTGATGAAGGGTGATTTGGCCTGACCTAGTAAAAAGGGGACACGTGGACACGACCTGACCAAGAGATGACAACTCAACCTGACAAGTTTAGTTCACAACAATTGAGCTTGGGTATTCAGTCACCTCGGCACAAAGGCCGTCTCGGCTTAAGGCTCACCTCGGTGCAGGGCCACCTCGGCGCAAGTCTCACCTCGGCATCGAGGCACCTCGGTATTCAAGCCAGTTTGGAACTAAAAGACCGAAGTACCAGTTTGGAACCAACAACTCAAATCGCCACGTAATTGACTCCCGCGTAACCAACTCCAGAGGTCTCTCCAACAGATCCCGAATCTCTCGAGATCACGATAAGTTAACAGATCCCAACTTTTCTGGGATCACGATAAGGACTTATCCTGACTCCGCCAGTTTGGATGTTTGTTCATTCCCTAACAACCCAATCCGGTAACATAATACTTTTTTTAGTCAATAGGAAAGTATATGTCATTCAACGAAGAAACTTGTATGAATATGAATACACAAAATTGGTAATAATACCAAGCTAGAAAGCATATAGACAATTTCTTAGAGAACAAAATATATATAACTAATGGATAAAAGAGAAGAAAATAACTTTTGCAATTGACAAATGGTGAGTTAAGAATCACCAATAGAAGAAATAGCAATTCAGTGCAATTCCATCCACCAAAACTGAGAAAAAGACTGGAGGGATGCTCAAAGAGAAGGAAGAAATGTCAGAAATAGCATGAATGGAGAAAACCGCAAAAGATGGTAAAGCCCCAAATAACTGCATCCGCTACGAATAATGGAACTTGTTGGTGAACTGCAACTGCTACCAAGAAACTGCAACCGGTGGTGAAATTGATCGGGAAACTCCATAAATGGCAAACCAAAGCAGTGGTCGTGGCCACCGCCCAATAAAACTTAAAATGGGAAATATGAGAACACACTTTTCTAAGAAAACAAATAGCGGTCTCTAGTAACTAGCTTGGTTATCCTAAAAGGTTCATTTTTTATGGTTTTGTCTAACAAATTTTCAAGCTTTGACTTCTAGAAGCACTTATTTAAAGTCCCACCAAACACAACCTAAAGAAGTGTTTTTTTCAAAACGGTCCATTTTCAAAAGTGGATTTTTCATAAATTCGTTTAGGCCAAAAATCACTCCTAAACATGATCTTAAAGTATGTACCCTTATGAGTTTTAACAATATGACATAACCGTACGGTAATCAAGGAATTTACCAGGGCAAATAGCTGGCTTAAAAAATAATAAAAATATGCATAGAACAGTTTATGAATCGCCGATCTATAAGTAAGAAACTTGAAATATTTGGGACCGATGCTGATCCATTTGCTCAAAAAACCAATGATTTTTTATATTATTGATTTATCAAAAATTAGAGAAATTGTTTAATTGGTATCATTATCACAATGTCAGCTGATTGTTCGGAAATTTGTTTGGTAGCCATTATTAATAATGATTTTTGTGTTGATGGGAGCTATCAACCATATTCATGTTGGATGATGTCACATCATCTAAAAATGATTGAAATCAGTTTGAAAAAAGTAATCATTTAATTCATCGGCTTCTTTTCTCAACCCGTTTTTAATGATTGTTTCTAATTGATTTGCCAATTTCTCAAAAATCGGCCAATTTTTGAATTGTAAATGTGTCTCTAATGTGGCACCAATTTCCAAACACCACCAAAATCTATACCTATATTGAGGCAATGATCTAAAATCTATTGAAGAATTGTTTGATCAAAGGGTTGAATGGGCGAACAACTATATTATTGTGTATAAGGTAAGGTGGTTCATTCTATGGAGAATTTAAAACTTTGGATAGGTGTTTTTAAACTTAGCCAAACCTAAAGGTTAGAGTGGGTGGAACTTCCTAATTAGAATAGTGAAAGTTCCAGGTTTCTCAACCAAATTTAATCTTATTTTTCACTAAATATATAGCTAGATTGAGGCAATGCCCTAAAAAATATTTTATTTTATTTTTTATTCTATGTCATTTTTGAAACAACCAATGAGATGCACTTTTCTAATAACCTAAATAATCTCTTCTCTTAAAATTTATCCTAAACTACCTCCCCCACTTTCTCTAGAATTATCTCTAATTCCTATTTATCTTCTAAATTATCTCTAATTCATATTTATCTCCACAATTATCCCTAATTTAGTAGAGAGTTTCTCTCCTATATTATCTATAATTCCTATTTATCCTCTCCCCTACTTTTTATCTATATCTATCTAAAGAAAATTTGGATTAAAAATTTAAGAATTATTTAAATATCCTAACAAAATTATATAATAACTTTAAAATATTTATTAAAAACACAAAATATAATTTTATATTTTTACAAAATATATCACGAAATTATGTACTAACAATTTAAATTATGATTTTTTGGATTATCAATTTAAATGCTTTTCAAATATTTAATAATATGTAATAGCTTTAAATAAATAAAATTAAAAATAACAAAAAAATAAATATTTTATAAATTATTTAAAAACTTAAATAAATAAATATTTATCATAAATATATTTAAAATAATGAAATTATCTAATAAATAATTTTATATTTTTACAAAATATATCATGAAATTATGTACTATCAAATTTAAATTATGTTTTTCTAGAACATCAATTTAAATGTTTTTCAAACATTTAATAATATGTAAGAGATTTCAATAAATAAAATTCAAATAACAAAAAATTTTAAATATTTTATAGATTATTTAAATATTTAAATAACTAGATATTTATCATAACTATATTTTAAATAGTTAAAATAACGAGATTATGTAATAAATTAAAAAGTTTCTTTAAAGTAGAAAAATAATTATAACATAATATTAAAATTAATAATAATTTAATATATTCAAAATTAATAATGAAATTATGTAATAATAGTATAAATTATGATTTTATGTATAATTAAATTCCATAAATAACTAATATTTTAAAATTTAAATATTTTATATATGATTAAAGTATTTAAATAACTGAGTATTTTAAATAAAAAAAATATTTAACATAACAAGATTTTGAAAAGTTAAAATAAAGAAATTATGTAATAAATTTAAAAACTTTCTGAAATGTATAAAAATAATTATAACATAATATTGAAATTAATAATAATTTAATTTTGTACATAATATTGTAAATAACTAATTTCACTTATATCAAGTAATAATTCAATAAAATAACTTTCAAAAAAATTAATATTTATTAATAATAATTTAAACTCTTCATCTATATTTATTATATAATTATATATACTAAAATTAATGTTTATTGTATTTCAGTAATTAAATATTGTTTTTGTCATAAATGTATTTTCAACAATTATGTATAAATTTATTTTTTTGTTATTTAATAGAACACTTTCAATAATTATTGGAGATTAAACTACTATTAGTGAAATTTTTAAATTTAATTTATTGTACTT